TCCAGAGCGAAAAAAGGCGTCAGTTCCAGTAAAAACCCCCCCTCACTTCCCCCCCTTTCCGGCGCCTCACGGGTGAGGGTAGCAGTCCATCCAACGTCACATCACTGGGCCCCAGACCTCATTTCAAAGCCCTCCAAGTTTGAGATGTGCGACAAAGCATGGGACCGTGGGAGCGACGCAACGATGTCCCTGCACTCGGCAGCAATGGATGCGCCGGCCCGACGGCTCCATGCCCCGTGCAGGTAGGCAAGCCAACTCGCTTGGAACAGGTTAACCAGGTTAAATTAAAAGCCTTTTGGAAGCCTGTTTTTGGCTGGTAAGCCACTGTGGCGTGTTGGGAGACATCCCTGCATACAGTGCTTAAGCGAGTGACGCGCGAACTTTTTTAAAAAGGAACTTACGTTACTGGTTGCCTTTAAAAAAAATACCGGAGTAAGATGGGTAACAAATAAAGAATGTGCAGGTTAAATACAACAAGGTGGGTTTTACCCCAGACCGCGTCTTGTCGAAAAAGGCTTCGCGAGTCTCGCTGCCGTTCCTCCAACCCACCCCTGGCGTACCTACCTTGGCCTGCGGCGCACCCTGCCTCCGGCAGGCAATGGCTTGTCCATTGTCGGTTATTTTTTAACTTTTTGAAGCTGGGGGGCTCTGCCCCCCAGGACCCCTACATTCTGAATAGAGTTGTTTATCTGCAGATAACACGATCTTACCCTTGTCACTTTTTTTAACTTGTCGGGGCTGGGGGGCCCGCCCCCCAGACCCCCCTTTCTCCAAGCCAGAAGTGATCTATCTGCAGAAAACTTATTTTTCGCCTTTTTTTAGGTTTTTTTCGGCTATAAAAACTGAACCAGTTGAGCTAGGATGGTGAAATTTGACGTGTGCCGAGCCAAGGACGTCCCCAAAAAGTGTGCAAAATCTCACCGAGATCGGCCGAGCCGTTCAGGAGGAGTAGTGCGGACACACACGCACGCACGCACGCACGCACACACGCAGACAGGAAAAATTTTCAACCCCACCTGAGTAACGGGCTTCGCTATCGCTCAGCCACTAAAAAACACAAAAGAAATGTGTGATGCCAAAATTTTTGTGAATAACATAATTAACGTATGGTTTGGCTAACCAAAACTTGCGCAGACACAGAAAACAAATTTTAACAGTAATTGGCTGAGCGATAGCGAAGCCGTTACTTCAGTGGGGTTGAAAAGTTTTGTTGTCGTCTGTCTGTCTGTCTGTTTTGGGCTGTTTTGTGTCTGTGTGTCCGCACTACCCCCTGAACGGCCGGCCGATCTCGGTGAGACTTTGCACACTTCTTGGGTATGTCTTGGCTCGGACACGCGAAATTCACCCTCCTAGCTCAACTTTCAGTTTTATAGCCGAAAAACACCCAAAAAACGGCGAAAAGTAGAGCTTTCTGCAAAAGATCACTTCTGGCTTGGAGAAAGGGGGGTCGGAGGGCGGAGCCCCCCCGCCTTAACAAGTTAAAAATGACAAAGGGGCAAGGTGTGTTTTTGTAGAAAAACAACTCTATTTAGAATGTAGGGGGGTCTGGGGGGCGGAGCACCCCAGCATTCAACAGTTAAAAATAACCGACAATGGACAAGCCATTTCCTGCCGCAGGCAGGCTAGCGCCGCAGGCCAAGGTAGGTACGCCAGGCGTGGATTGGAGGAACAGGCAGCGAGACATCGCGAAGCCTGTTACGACAAGGGGACGCGGCTGGCGTAAACCTACCTTGTTATACCTACCTTGTTATACAAGGTAGGTTTACGCCAGACCGCGTCTTGTCGTAACAGGCTTCGCGATGTCTCGCTGCCTGTTCCTCCCAATCCACGCCTGGCGTACCTACCTGGCCTGCGGCGCTAGCCTGCCTGCGGCAGGCAATGACTTGTCCATCCTCGTTATTTTTTAACTTGTTGATGCTGGGGGGCTCCGCCCCCCAGACCCCCCTACATTCTAAATAGAGTTGTTTTATCTACAGATAACACGATCTGACCCCTGTCACTTTTTAACTGTCGTAGCTGGGGCTCCGCCCCCCAGACCCCCCTTTCTCTAAGCCAGAAGTAGTCTATCTGCAGAAATCTCTACTTTCGCCGTTTTTAGGTGTTTTTCGCCTATAAAAATGAACCAGTTGAGCTAGGATGGTGAAATTTCGCGTGGCCGAGCCAAGGACATACCAAGAAGTGTGCAAAATCTCACCGAGATCGCTGAGCCGTTCAGGAGGAGTAGTGTGGACACACACACACACACACAGACAGACAGACGGACAGACAGACAGGAAAAACTTTTCAACCCCACTGGAGTAACAGGCTTCGCTATCGCTCAGCCAACAAATCAAATGATAAGACTGAATAGTGTTTGAATTGCGCATTACATTTAGAAGAAGATGCAAGCTGTTGTACAGACTTTGACCGATCCATCATCCGAGTCTCAATGTTCCTATTTTCTTCGCCCACAATTTTCTTTGTTGTCAATTTTGATATTTGAGCGCCTTTAGACTCTAACAAGTTGCTGGAAGAAAAGAAGTTTCAAAGGTCACTTATTTAGATCTAAGTGAGAACAAACAAAAAACATAGTGATTCTTAGCTTCTTACCTTGTACTTCACTTTGAGTTTGAGGAATAATCTCTTTGTTTGAACATCTTACATTGATCGGAGATGGCAAGGAGGCGTGCAATTTATGAGGCTTTGGCAAAATAAACCCGTTCAACTTACTGCAATAAAATGTGAATAAAATTGTCACTAATTTACCACCCTTACCATCTCTTGAGTGTTCACAGCTTGGTATCATTTGGAGACGATGCAACCAGTGGCTTGAAAGCCCGTGTCAGAGATTGAAGATGATGATACACGAAGAAACAATAAAGGCTAACCAATATTTTTACATCACAATTTACAAAACAGTGGGGGACCAGTACATTCTGTTTTGTTCGTCTGTGCGTTTCACATTCAGAGCTCGTTTGGAGGGGCGGTTTGCTTTGGAGAGCCACATCTGCCCACCGTTCTAGGTCTTGAAGCCTTGGCGGCCGCTAGCCGGTTTGCTCCCCTTTCTTGTTTGGTTCACGGTTACTTGGCCGCGGCGTGTTACACCCCGCACTTCCATGCGTCTACCGCCACTATCTAGATACACCCGACTTTCTTTGCAGATCCCTCACCGTCTTTTTTTTCGTTGCGTCACCCTTTCTGATGAGATTTTTTGATGTGGCGGAAACCACCACAGACGAGGTATGAAACACAGGTATCACAGTATTATGAACATTCTTCACAGTTCGAGAACACAGCCGCAACAGGTCCCCAAACACAGAGAGAATTCGAGTTTCATAGCGAGGGCCTATCCGGTATTATAATCTTTCTAGTGTCTCCCATTCACTTCTCCTCGCCGCCAACTCTTCCTCGACGGCTTTCCCAGCCAGCGGCCAAAGACGCACCCGTCCGACTTGAGCATTTTCAGAGTGCACACAAGTTAAGTTGGCTTGCGTCTTGCATAAAAAATTTACTTGGCCAGATTCAGACACTGCACTGTAAGGGGGGCCCTGGTGAAAAAATCGCCAAAATTCCAAAAAATTGTATTTTCAAAGTTCATAGAATAAAATGTGCATAGAAGGTTTCAAATTCAACAGGTTGAACACCTTTAAGCTAAGTGGGTAGTTTCTTATCATTTGGAAGGAAATAACATTGAGATCAGTTGTCGTTGGCTTCTACGCTCACAACTTCACAGCTTTGCTCAGTAGACAAAAAATTTTGTCGTACAAAGACTTCCTGCGTTCCTGGTTGACACCTACATGAGTCGTCTTGCCAGGACTCTATTCATTGATGACTTGTCGAGAAAAATTTTAGTGACGGAATCTGATATCAGCCCTACTTTTTTTTAAACACACCTAAAAGTTTGAAAAAGGGAAAAAATCATTTTTTTTAATGTTAAAATTTGATAACTCATATCTCAGGACAGAAGTTGAATTTGAAAATTCCGTCACTAAAATCTCTTCAATACATCTTTAGGATAACCCAAAAAAATTTTCAAGACTTTCCGTCCCAAAGAAAGACGCAGGAAGATTTTTCCCCAAAGCTCCAAAAAACACTAAAAAGCCACTTTTCTCAGAGACCGTTCAACATTTTGGATTGAATTTTGTTTTGGGAACTCACCATAATGAACCTCATAATTAAGCAAAGTTTCAACGTTCTGTGATTATTTTGAAGCCTACTTGAAAGTTTCGCCAGTTTCACCCTTAAATAAGACCACACACTTATTTAAAATGAGCTTCTCATTCTCCTATTCAGCTTAGACATTCACAGCAAGGAGACAAACCCAGTCAGGAGGATATTTGGCTCCTAAATCAGAACAGACGGTATTAGGAATAGAAAACAAGTCATTTTCAGGTATGAATGTAACCCCAGCTTCTCTAATTATTGTTTTTATTCACAGTTGAATGCAAGAACTGTGATGCTTTGTCAACATCATATACCTCATTCTTAGACTTATCTGTACAAGTCTATGCTACTTTGGAGAATGGCTTAGCTTCATTTTTTGGGCCAGAGCACATGACCGACTACAAATGCAGCATGTGTGACAAAGTGGGTCAATGCAAGAGGAGATACTATCTTGAAAAGCCACCAAAAGTGTTGTGTGTGCAGCTGAAGAGGTGCACAAATTTTTATCCTTAAAAACAGGACATTATTGAAACTCAAAGGTATTTCTGTATCTGACTTTTTATTATGTCTCACTTTATCTGTCACCTTTTAGATTTAACAATGCAGGAGGCAAAATCAACAGAATAGTTAAGTGTAAGCCAATGCTCGATCTGAAACAGTTTATTCATGAAGACTCTCCTCATGCTGGTTCACCTCTTCTGTACAAAATGGTGTCTTCACTGACCCATTTAGGGCCAACGATTGACAGTGGAAACTACTACACTATTGCACAATGCTGAACAGGAACCTTTTTTAAATACAATGATTTGGAGGTGAGTCACACTGTTGGGTGCGTTATCTTTGCATTTATCAATTGCAATTTCATTATAATTCTTATCGGGTTCTGTTCTTTCATAAGGTGGAACCATCTTCACTGCACAAGTGCCTGACAAATGGCCACTATTTAGTAATGTATGAAATGGTGAACAATAAGCAAGTATAATCGTTTACTGTTCTGTGAATTAACACTTTTTATTTTGTGGTATCTTAGTTGGTCAGGCTCCTTTCTTGTTGAATGTTAGTTTATTTATATGTGTTTCATTGCAATGAACTGCAAATCAGGCTCCAATTCACGGCGTTTACTGTGGCCAGATCACAGTGAACACTGTAACTGAGATCACAATGAACGCCGTGAACTACTTCATGGCAAACGCCGTGAATTGCATAACAGCAAACATTGGTAATAAATTAACGGCGTTGACAGGACATTTTTTGTGGAGTGTGGAGGGGGTAGCCCGACCGGTCCGGCGGCGGAGGGGAGGGCTTCTGTAACGGTCGCCAGAAAACCCACCTTTGGCTGGCACGACTATATACTTGAGCACCGATCACATCCGCTTCGATTGATCAAGGACCCTCTACTTGAAGTGAAAGAGGGGCCATACTCAGATTTTCCTCTGCTCCCTTCACTTAAATTAACATACGCATTTGTTACGAATCACCCCTGTTACAAATCGCCCCACAATCCCTTACAGGACTTTTTAGCGATATTTCGATTCTATCCGAGTCTTAGCTAGTAATAAGTAACTGAATTCTAGAAAGTTTGGCTTTTATTTTGAGATTTCTAGACTGAATCTGATCTTTAACTCTCCGAAACACAATTTAAAGTGTTTAAACAATGGTTTTGTTCTTTCAGCCAAGGGAGCCCAGGAAATAATAGTCAAAGTGAGAAGAACGAGTTTTCAGCCAAACCATGCATTGTAGAGGTCAATTTTTTTGGTTAGACAACTTATCTATGGGAAGGTAACATTTGACCAAAATATGGAGCAAATCGGAGGGGGTCGATATAACGGGATATTGAAGTAGGATGGAATAACCCCTTCATGCTTTCTTATGTGTGTGTGTGTGTGTGTGTGTGTGTGTGTGTGTATTTCAGTGGTTGCACCTGTCGCCAATCCAGGACATGCCAATTCCTTGCCATCACAGAGAAGTAGTGCCTCTTGCAGAGCAATAGCGAAGCCCGTAACTCGGGAAGGATTGAAACGTGATGTCTCGAAAGTGGTAATTCTACCACCTATAAGGAGAATTGTTCACAAAACGTGGTCTCGCCACGAAAGTAGAAAGAGGGCAATGCACACAATGCAACAGTAAAATTTTATCTCATTAAACACAAGACTTGGTATAGAAAATTGGCCAGTGCCGCCACTTGCGCTATGCACAACACAGTATTTATTTCCATGTGCCAGACCCAGGTGAGCAGGACGGTTTAGCAGACCCAGGGTGGCTAACGAAGAACACTAGGAGCAGGCTCGTCAGCACGCCCCTAAAGAGCTGGCTTCTGGTTCTGAATCTAGGAGCTTGTTAGTGAGAAAGGCCCATTGCAGCTGATTAGTTCTGCTGGGCCTTGAGACCTCGTTCGTGGTGTCAAGCCCTGCTACCTGTTCTCTGAGAAAGTCCTTTAAGAGCTGATTTGTGGTGCTGAAGTTTGCGAGCTGGTTCGTGGGAAAGGCCCTTAGCAGCCGATTGTTTTGATAAACCTTGGGAGCTGGGTCGTGGGAAGGGCTCTTTCTAAGAGCTGGTTTGTGGTGCTGAACTTTGAGAGCTGGTTTGTGGGATGGGCGTTTGGCAGCTGATTTGTTGTGCTGGACTTTGGTAGCTCGGTCGTGGGAAAGGCTCTTCTCAAGAGCTGGCTTGTGGTGCTGAACCTTAAGAGCTGGTTTGTGCTGCTGAACCTTGGGATTTGCTCCGTGAGAAAGTCCATTATGAGCTGATTTGTGGTGCTGAACTTTGAGAGCTGTAGTGGGGGTAATGAAACAGGAAAACCCCATAGAACGTTGCAAATTGGGTTACAATCAAGCTTGCACACGTCTTCTATTGACCCAAATGGTCGATTTGGCCCGAAGCACACGTCAAAATTTCCCTTAGGACTCAAATGCGGGGGCGTTAAAGGTTAAAAGTGTTCAAAATTTTCGAAGTTTCAATTTTGACAGTTAAAATCGTGCGACGAGTGGTTTGCGCATAATTCGAGGTCGGAGAATTCATTGGCGATGTCAGAACAACGATGAGGTCACCGGAAGTACCGGAAATGGCCGCCATTTTGGACAATGGCGGCCAAATTCTTCGGATTTCGAACGGCTCCGCAACCAGTTGAGTTGGGTGTCGTTCCGATAGTTTCAGGGGTCTCTGAAGGCCACTGTGATGTCAAATTGAGAGTATTTAGCAGAGAAATGCAGAAAAACAGCTTCTCAGCTGTGAAAAATGAATCTGAACGATGCAGTGCTTTCCAGGATAAAGTGAAGGGAACGCAGTTTCTCTGCTTTGGTAAATTAAACATGTTTGATGCGCTGAAATGACGTCTGTTTAAATGTAAATATACTCGCATTTTAGGTCCAACGTTAATTTGTAACTGTCATATCTCGATCTCAAAATCTTGAAAGTATGTGAAGAAATCAAGATAGCAAACTACGTCCAAAGAAAAACCCCAAATACGAAAAGTGAGTGAAGGATAATGACCCTGCAAGTTCTATGGCGTGCTTGGCACACTTCTGTGCCGATGATCTTCGAAGGACAGTTCCATGGGCATGAAGCAAAAAATTTGCCTTCGCTTCAAAAAGGACCTTACATCTGAAACCAGATAGCCGTAACTTGCCTCGATTAGGTATCATAACGTTATTGTAAGCAGTGAGACTGAATGTATACTTGAAAATTTAAATTTTCCAGAACGTGTGCTCTGAAAAGCATTTTATAGAGTTAATTTGATAAGGAAACGGGTTTATGCCGTGCGTCTAAAAGTTGAGTCAAAGAATGAAAAAGAAAGAAAATTTTTCCTTCTAATGCAAGAGTTTTATCTGAACTTTGTTTCCTGTAATTTAAGATTTTTTTTATTTGGGTCTAGCTTTAAAATTTTGAACGTGTTGTGGCCTAATGTTTACTTTCTTAGTCTAAAGTCTAGTTCTTAGTCTAAATCAAAAGCTGCGAAAGAAAGGTGTGAGAAAGGACAGAACGAGATATTTAATGTATGGAGAAACATCAAAGCCTTCTGTTAAAACATTGTCAGGAACAGATGAATCTGTAAGCAAATATTAACCGTCTAATTGGTAACTGGTATAATGTTTAAAATTATTTTGGTAAAATTTTTCTTTTTATTTTTTTTCATTAGGTTGGAAGTGATGACTCTTTTTTTAAAGGAACTGATAGTTTTTTCTTGTCGACTGCTGTAAGTTTCTTTTTCTTTAAATTATATAATTACAAAAGGTGTTGGGTATAACAAAAGTTTTTTCCCTAGTCGACATCGAAAGAAGGTTCAGCAAATATAAGGGAAAACATAGGAAAAAGAGAAAGAACACGAAACCTGATAAAGAAGACAAGGGGACCGAAAAAATTGAAACAGTAAGAAATCACAAGGTTGTTAAAATATTTAATTTTTTTCTGAATGACTCACTAACTGTTAACCTTTTGTAGGCTGACAAAACAATCTGTCTCTGGGCTAAGTGGGGGGGATGTCTTTCCCAATATATTTCCCCCAGATGCGCAAGAAAAAAGAGAGGGAATTGACATTGACTTGCATGAGCGAAATAATAAGTTAAAACCCCAAAGAAAAAACTGATGCATCTCCTGCAGCAAGCGGTGGGGTTACAAAGGTACCCATAAATAAGTCCATGATTCAGTACGCACGCAACCCCGGGGGCCCAGATACGAAGAGCACCTACGTTTGCAGAGAGACAAAGCGACTGAGGGGAGAAAGAAATCAAACGGAAGCGGGAGGGGGAAAAGTCTAGCTAAGGGGCTTGCAATGAAAAAAGCTAAATTGCTTGCAGATGCCAGAAGGAGGCAGAGTTAATTGACGAGCAGTTTAAAAACATGTCTTGAAATATGTTTTAAAACTTTACTTTCGTGAGTCCTGTATCATTTTTTTTTTTTGTGTTCCTTCCCCAAAGTTTTTTTTTTTTGACTAGTTTTACCATGTTTTGTGAGTTTGTTTTTAAATAAATGTATTCTTCGGCATTTTTACTTTTTACTGTTTTGTACCTACACATGTTCCATCTTTAAGGCACCTCTCAACACTTACCACGCTGTTGCGGCTACTATTGTCTTAACCATAAGCACATTGATGCTTTGATTTTTGAATTCCGGGCGATCTGTACCTTTTAAAATCGGATATGATCCCCCTAAAATCATCGCCTGGACCCGGAAAAACTGGGTTTAAAATCACCGGAAAAAAAAACGGGAAAAAACCGGGAATTTTTCTAGACAATCCTGCGGTCACCCTGCGTGTTTCGGCAGGCTACTGAGTTGCGCTACGCGCGTCCGCTCGCTGTCGCTCGCGAACGCGCTCCGCACTGTGGGAAAAAATCACAGTAAATCCTGTACACTGTAAAAATTAATGTCCGGAATAAACGACGGATCCTTCGGCAAAAAAATTGCCAACGGTTCCTTCGTTAATTTACGAAGCTCTTCGTATATTTACAAAAACCTTCGTTATTTTTTAGGAAGATCTATCTGCTGATTTTCCAATCACAATGGAAATTTACGAAGCACCTTCGTAAATCTACAAAGATCCTTCGTAAATTAACAGGGAACCTTCGTTTATAAAAAAGAAACTTCTTTTAATATACAGAGATTCTTCGTAATTATATGTCTGGAATTAGCGACGGATCCTTCGGAAAAAAAAATTGCCAACACTTCCTTCGTTTATTACAAAGGGGCCGCCGTAGATTTACGAAGACCCGTCGTAGATTGACGAAAGCCCGTCGTAAATTTACGAAGCCCTTCGTAAATTTACAACGGTTTTTGTAAATTTACGATTTTTTTTCGAAAATTTTACAAAGAACCTTCAAAAATTTAACGACGAATCTACGTTGATTCACAAAGTTCCTGTAGGAAAGAAACATTAACAGTGCACTTTTGGACTTTCCCAAAAAATTTTTGGGAAAAAATATTCCATCGTAAATTCACAACATATGTTTTACAGTGTAGTGTTTAGTACAGCGGGCACTGTAGTTCAGAGTACAGGATTTACCGTCCTTTTTTTACAGGATCTACTGTACTTTGTACGGGATTTACTGTTACCACAGGAGTGGAGTAGTGTTTAAGGGGAAAAGTCCGGATCCCAGCGACTCCCAAGATTTACCGGTAAATGATAGGAGTAAAATACCCAACCCGGGGGGAAAAGTCTGTCCGAGCCAGGTTCTCCTATCATTTTTCCGGGGAAATGTTGCGGTAAATCGACATTTCCCGGTCGGCTGCGGGAAATGTTGAGTGTGGAGGTTTGGGTTTTGGTGTCTAGGTCAAGGGGGCTATATTGGGTCGCCGCTACAGCAACCGATCCCCGGGGCGCTACTTTCCCAAAAATTTGAAATTTTCAGTCTAAATGCCTCGAAGAAAAAGTAGAACATGTTGAATAAAAAAATTCCCTCTCGAACCAACCTCCTCACTCAACATTTCCCGCAGCCGACCCGGGAAATGTCGATTTCCGCAACACTTCCCGGTAAATGATAGGAGAACCCGACATTTCCCGGGTTGGGTAGGTTACTCCTAACATTTACCGGTAAAACTTAGGAGTCGCCGGGATCCGGACATTTTCCCCTTTAAAATATATATAACATTTTGGCGTTATTTTCACACCGCGGGTCTGCAACGGCTAATTTTTTTCTTGTCACGCCATATTGGCTATGTGTCCGCCATTACGTTTTCCCGGAATGCAATACCTTAAAATTTCGCTTCAATTATGATATTAAATTTTCAGCGACGTCCAAAAAAAGACACAAAAACCCAAACCCAAAAAAAGAGGAAAAAAAAAACAGGGGCAAGAAAAAAAAAAGTGGACAAGGAAACAGAGACAATTTAAACTGTAAGTACTCAACCATAGTTTCGCATTTAAAATCATTTTCACACCCACGGTAAAAGTCTCGCCTTGGAATCCAAGGGGATTTTTTGAAAACCAAGGGGAAAAGACGAAAACCAAGGGAGCCCCTTGGAATGAGGTCAAATTCCAGGGGCCTCCCTTGGAATCAAGCCAAGATTCCAAGGGAGGCCCTGGGAAATGGGCCACCTTGGTTTCCGAACCACAGGTCCCTTGGAAAACACAACCAAATCCAAGGGACTCGCTTGGAATTTAGTGTTATTCGCTTGGAACGTGTTTCCAAGGGCCTCGAAACGTCTGTCGGCGGCCTCCCGCGGCGTGTCTGCAGCGTGTCTTACAGAATTAAGTAAGAATTAGAGATCTGAGTCGCGAAAGTAGTGACATGACAGTTCAAACGCTTCGCGCCGCCTCATTGGTGTTGGCCTTTCTGTTTCCGGTGACGTGATCGACGTGATCGTGAGCAGGAGGGAGAAGAGACCAGTCTAGAAGGCAGTGAGGTGGAATGCCAAAAAAGTGTATGTTTCGTGCTGCTTGTCGCAATGATTTCTGTAATCTAGTTTGTAATCTATTGGTCTGCGGGTGAATTTTTCAAAAGCAGAAATGTGTTTCGTCTTCGTGCTGTGATCACTCACGCTCGTCATCAACAGTTTCGTCTAAAGAGAGAAGTAGCCGGCCAGCCGGCTCATAACCTCCTAACCTTACAATTTCTTGCTTCATTCCATTCTCAATCGCTTTTGTGCATCTCTTGTCCTAAATAACGACATCCTAATTTACTTTTGATACCGGAGCCCTCGCACAAGCACTGGCCTGTCGGATTATCGGAAGAGTTAGCTTGTTATAGGCTGTAGTTCTACACTTGCATCTGTAGGCTGTTAGTATCAGACAGTTCCAATGTTTGCCTTGTCAATAGTGAACAAAGCTGGTAGCCGTCCACTGTCACAATGTAAAACTTGGGTTTTCTGTCTTGCCTGCGCAGATTGCATTCCAATGTCAAAATGTTTGCCATAATTTAGTATAACCTAATGTTGAGTGGTGCGTTGGACGGAGTTTGTTTTGTGCTGGTGTTTTGCCTTGCTTGTGCAACCAACCTCACTTCTAGTCTTTGTCTCTCTCTTTCCCCATGTTTTGTCAGTTACTTTAAAATTGTTTCTTTCCCACAGGAGGATAACCAGTTGCTGCAGCTGTGGAGATAGTTTTGGTGTCCTTCCATCGCCATCGTGTCACTTCACCCTTGCAGCGAGGACAGTCATTTTCTTGTCAGGTAAACTGTATCTGTAGGCCATTAGCATCGTAAAATTCCAATGTGTGCCTTGTCAATAGTGAACAAGGCTAGTAGCTGTTGTTTGTCACAGTGTAAATATTGTGTTTTCTATCGTCCCTGCCCAGATTGCATTCTAATGTCAAAATGTTTGCCATTGATTTAGTATAACCTAATGTTGAGTGGTGCGTTGGACGGAGTTTGTTTTGCGCTGGTGTTTGCTTTGCTTGTGCAACCAACCTCACTTCTAGTCTTTGTCTCTCTCTTTCCCCATGTTTTGTCAGTTACTTTAACTTTGTTTCTTTCCCCACAGGAGAATAACCAGTTGCTGTGCAGATTCCTTTGGTTGCAGCGAGGACTGAAATTCTCTTGTGAGGTAAATTCTAATGAGAGAATAAGATGGAGGACCTTATTTTAAATGTCAAATATTTAGTGGCGACAGGGTTTATTTAGCATAAATTAAATTTTGTAATATTTCATTTGTGTTTGGCTCGTGTTGGAGTAATCTAGTCTTTATTTTCTTACATTCTTGAGCTTCATTGTGACAAGTTTCATCATGATGGTTTGATGTTACTTTACAAAGGCATTATTATATGTTTGGTCAAGTGCCATGACAATCAATGTGTGTGTTATATGCAGTGAATTGCTCGCAATAACAAACACATTATGATGTGTGTTGCTTCATATCCCTATTTCTTGGCACATGCAGTTGCATTAATGTTTTTGTTTTAGGGGGGAAAGGTGATTCTTATTTGAGCACTTGTTTCTCAATTTCTTTATGGGCACAAGTTATAGGTCTTAGCCCTGCACATACATATTGGTTTGATTTTGACCGTGAAGTGATCACATAGTTTTTTTCTTTATTTTAAAAGTACTAAGCCTTTTTATCTTCATAGTTAATTTTTGCTATTATTTCACTTGATAAGAAATGGGCGAGAACAACAAAGTTTGGTGACTCTTTTGTCTGCTACTGGATGTTCAAGGAAAGGTTGCATTACATTTTTCTTGTAATGCATAAGTATTGTTTGCTTTTAGACAATTAGGTGGTACACAATTGTGCCGTTCTTTGCTTTGCTGTGCCTTCAGTTTTCCTACCTGTAGTGTCTGTCCCTACTTTTCCGCAATTTTTGGCAGTTCCTTTAACTTTTCTCTTTTGTCCACAGGTTTTGCTGCAATTTTATTGTGGAGTGATGGGGTCGCTTCCAAAACCAGCTGTTGTTGCCACAAGCACCAGGGATGATGTGAGCGCCTTCCTCCATTCTCAGGGCACACTGAAGCCGGAGACCATCAGCTTATTTTTTGGTGAGAATAGTTTTTGTGGTTTCCCTTTATTTTCTGTCATTCTTTTTGATGTGTGTCCTGGTGCTTTGGTTCTGCTTTTGTTGTTGTGTTGCCTTCTGTTATTGTGTTGCATTGCTTTGTCGCTTTAATGTTTATTTCTCTCATCCTCAGGGATCGCCAGCAATCAGCAGAGCTACAGTTTTGTTGAGCGGGAAAGTTGGGATATCATACAGGAGCCCATTGCACGCTTAACGAGGAAATGAACATTTTTTAACCAGGTAATATGTAATGTGAGCACTTGTCATTAGTACTAATTTTAAATGGTAAATATTCAATTCCAAAGGCAGTCTTTCTTTTGTTAGCTTCAAATTTATTTGGTTTTTGTTTGTGTGGTCCAGTCTTTATATTTTTGCTTTCTTGAGCCACATAATTACCTAATTGTGACAGGGTTGTTTCATTATAGCTAGTGATGGCTTTATTACGTGTTGAGTTAAGTAACATCTCAGTGTGGGTTTGACAATCACAGTATGATGTTTGTTATTTCTTGTTCCTTTTTCTAAGCACATGCAGTTGCATTCATGTTTGTGTTGGTGGAGAGAAGGGATAGTTATTGCAGTTTAGTTTGACTAAACCCTCCACAGACACATTGGTTGGATTAAGTGGTATTTGTTTGCTTTTTTTTCACATTTTAAATGGCTGAGCTCATCTCCTATGTTTTGATCTGTTGTTTGCTTTGCTTGTGCAGTCAATATAACTTTTAGTCTGTCTCTCTCCTCCCATTTTGGCAGTTACTTTAACTTGTGTCTTTTACCCACAGGGTTTGATGGCAGTCGCTGAAGCTGCAGATTTGTAATTGGAGGCCTGATACCGTTACAACCTTGCAGCGAGGAAAGGAATTTTCTTGTCAGGTAAAGACCAATAAGAATAAAGATGTAGGTCCTAATTTTAAACGTATTTAGTGGCAGCAAGATACACTTGGCAAAAATTAAAATGTAGTATTATATTATTTGTGTTTGAGTAGTCTTGTCTTTATTTGCTTCCATTCTGGAACCATAAACTGCATTATTGTGGTTTGATAATTGTCAAAAATGTCTTTATTACGTGTTGGAGCAAGTAGCATCACAAACTGTGTTGCAGTGTACTGCACTGTGGGAAAAAAATCACAGTAAATCTTGTAGTGATTAGTACAGCTGTCACTGTAGTTCAGAGTACAGGATTTACTGTACCACAGGCGTGGAGTACGGAATAAATCCTGTACCAGGCACAGTAAATCCTGTTTTCTAAACTTCAGCATATCCTGAAAAAAAAAAATAATTAAGGGGATTCACTGTGGTTATTTTGCAGTGTGCTCGCATTAACAATTTTACTGTGATGTGTGTTGCTACTCAAACCCATTTCTTTTGTCTCTTCCTTGATGCTCAGAGAAAGGTTGCAATTTATTAACTTTGGTCTGTTGTTCTCAGAGTTTCCTGCAATTGGATTGCTCGCAATTCCAAGACCTGCCAAGGCTGCTGCAAGGACCACGGATGACATCAGTGCCTGCCTGCATTTAAGGCATACTCTTGTCAGAGACCTCCATTTGATTTTATTTTTATTAGAAGTGTTGTTTGTGTCACACTTTCAGAGGGGAGGGATCTTGCAAATTGAAAGCAAAATTTCTGAAGCTACGCGTGGGTAAACTCATGTGTCTTTTATGAGGTGTTGTTCTGTTGTAGATTTGACTTGCTGACTTCGCTTGGCTTGTGGGTTCCTTCTCAGTAATCATATGTAGAAGGGTGAAGTTTTATTTTTGAAGTTTTATTTTTAATAGATCTCTCGCAAAAATTTGATTGTAAATCTGGATTGTAAAACGAAAATAAAGTCACTGTTTGAGCGGAAAGATAACATTTTTCATTGACGTCCCAAGTTGTATCATTACAAACATATATCAAGTAGTTGAGCATGACATACACTTCAAGAAATTCAAAATAAATGAAAAGTGGAATGATCCACTTTGCTTGAGCCAAAATTAAATCACTGTTACAGCCTAAAGATAATGTTTCATTGACATCCTCAGTTTTACCATCACAAACATGACAACATCTACTTAGATGAGGCTAATGAAAGCTGAATATGAAATTTGAATTAGATACATGTATAAACTTGAATTAAATCAATAAGTGAATGGGCGAAGATTGGATACAGTTATTACTATTAAATGTCATAACAAATCTATGGACATAGACTGGGTCATGTTTACACTTTAAGAAATTCAAATTAAATGAAAAGTGGAATTATCACCCTCCACTTTGCTTGAGCCAAAAGTAGATCACTGTTAAAGCCTAAAGATAATATTTTTGATTGACATCCTCAGTATTACCACTACAAACATGACAACATAAAAATCAAGTACATGAGGCTAATCAAGCTGATTACGGAATTTGTATTAGATACATGTACAACCTTGAATTTATCAATAAGTGAAGTGGCAAAGATTGGAATCTGTTATTATTAAATGTCATGACAAATATAAGAGAATTCCAAATTCATGAAGAGTGGAATGGAGGCCCTCCAATATCATATGAAGTGGACAAATGTCTCTCCCACACCCTATGACAAAGGGTTTTCTTCCAAATTTCTGAGTGCGTTAATCAACTTTGTTACACACAGAAGTGGTGATGTACTGATTCCACATAAGATTTCTAAATAATTGTAAAAGGGTTTCACAGAGGGATGATACTCTCCCTATGACAAAGGGTTTTCTTCCAAATTTCTGAGTGCGTTAATCAACTTTGTTACACACAGAAGTGGTGATGGACTGATTCCACATAAGATTTCTAAATAATTGTAAAAGGGTTTCACAGAGGGATGATACTCTCCCTACGACAAAGGGTTTTCTTCCAAAGTTCTGAGTGCGTTAATCAACTTTGTTACACACAGAAGTGGTGATGTACTGATTCCACATAAGATTTCTAAATAATTGTAAAAGGGTTTCATAGAGGGATGATACTCTAAGTTAAATACGTGGTGGGCCTTGAGCGAAAGTGACACTGCCTTCAGAACTTCAATACCACACTGATCAGGCTGCTTAATACAACCCACCAAAAATGACAGTTTATCTATCTTCAGATACAATTTTCCATCTTTCTTTGAATTTGTTGACCAAAGTATGAATGGGAAAATGGGTGCAGGTTCGGTCAGGCAGCTTTCCACAGATATATAATGTTCCACGTCAGTTCCAGCCTGCAAGGAAAATGAGGACAGAATGTTATTGAAGATGATAACAATATACACACACATACTAATAAGATTATTCTTACAGGAGTTACTTGTAGCAAAGCACTGCTTGGTATGGCATCTATATGTTTCTTGTACTTTTTGATGTGCTGAAGAAGTGAAGCAGTTGTGGTTTTACTGTTTGAAGTTGGAACCAAAATCTTTGGCAACATCATGAGGGCAACCAAGCAATCTGAAAAGACACAAAGCGTTAGCTTATGCTAAATGAAGCTATAGGATGAAGTTTCCTTTCCATCATGTACTTACCATCATTAAACATGTTCTGGACATCCAAAGTGAGTTGTTCTTTCAATACATTAGCATGCCTGACAATATACGGAGCCATTATTTGAAACCTACTGACAAGATCTACATGAAGCTTTTCCATACGTGCAAACTCTTCTGATATCTGAAAAAAAAAATTGATGGTACAACTTATTTGCCGACAATGAAGCAAACAAACAAAAAACAACAGTGGAGCCTGAAATGCCACATCTTACCATTTCACCCTCATAACTCGCTAAAGGTCTGTACTGCACTACAATATCTGTGCAAGTTGGCTTTTGAGACTTAATCCACTTCCTCCTTTCAATGAAAGTTATATCTAAAGCTTGACTGATTTCGTGTTTGTTTCTTGATGTGGGTACAACATCTCTCAGCCAGGATTTCTGTAACCATTGATAAAAAAACTTTTAGAATACCAAGTGGTTTTAGGTATGAAAATTCGACAAAATTATTTACCTTTGACTCGATTTCAGGATTATTAGAGCTGGTATAAGGCGTAGAGGAAGCAGATGGAACAATAGTTTTAGAAGATGAGGCGGATGTGGATTCTGGTCGAGAAGTGGAGTTTGTACTCGAACTTTTGCAACCGCTCTTAACATTATTTTTTTTCTTCTCTTTTGGTAGTTTTGAGCGAACTGTCTCAAATTTATTTTGAACTATTCTCGACCACGACTCCTGAAAGCAGAATAATTTTGGTTTATTAGTTATATTGCTGGCATTGAACATCATCTTCACATATCAAATAAATATGTATTCATTTACCCAGGGGCATGGTCCCTTATCCGCTAAGGCGGGGAAAGCTGATGTGATTCCCTTCGCCATCGCAATCTTAACTGTTGCCTCTGGATAGCTATTGATGAAAAAGAACAGAGAAGACCAGTAAAAGATAAATTTGTACAAAGACTGAATACTTTGAGAGCTTTAAGTGGAACTTACTGCTTCAATGGACTCTCTCTGCTGCTTGTTACATATTTATGTAATATCTTCATGAGAGTAATTTGATGAGAAACAGACAAAAACCCTTTCTCATTTATAAATTCTTCAACTTGGCAACCAGCCTCAGAATCTCGTAGAATGGGAATTATATCCATAGGAGTCTGTGGACATTAAAGTTACATTCATTAATTTCAGATAAGAGATATAATGTAACACTTATAACTAGATGTTATTAAAAGATGTTATTAAAAAAATGAAGATCATAACACACCACTTCTTCAGGGCTAGTTCTTTTCTTTAATCGATCTCTCTTGTAATTATTTGATGAAGCTTTCCGTTTCTTAATGAATGAAGCACTAATACAGGGTTCCAGCTTAGCTTGATCAATGTTTGAAATTGGTCGGACTACACCATCATCATCAACATAGCCTTCCAGCACTGCACAGCCCTTCATTGACAAAAAAAGAAAGTAATATAGCACAAGACCAAAAATTTGATTTCAATTCAAATAGTGGAATGCAATAAATATAATACCAAATCTTGATCCAATGTTATTATAGATGAGCCAGAAGAATTAATAAAGGAGCATGATGAATCGTTCAAAATTAATGTGTCACTAGCAGAGGATGAGCTTGTGTTAGCATCTGGCCCAACGAGACAGCTTATAATTTTCAAAATTTTCTTCCTCTCCCCAAAAGTTATCTCATTAAAATCTTGTCGGAGAGTTTCATCATTAAGTTCAAGAAAAGCCTCTCCATCAACTTCTTGTTCTGAAACAGATGAAAGCAAAAACAAACGACACGATAAGTTGAAACTTCTTCATTGTTGTTGCATGCAGTTTAAAAGAAATAAACAAAATGCTTAAAAATTATAACTAGCCCCTCTTCCTCCCAGAAAAACAAAAGCAACACCCAACATGCCCATATATCCAACACAGAGGGGAAATGATACATGCAAACCCACTCACCATCTAGTCAAAACATTGAATGTTTCAGACACAAGTAAGTGTTATCAGTCGAGTAGTCTTGCCAAGCACTAATAGGAGCATGCAGAGGAAGATCTTCCACATCAATAAGATGGGTAGGAGCGTTTTCAAGCATGGCAACATGGTATGCATTGAACCGTTCTACCAGACCTACTGTCTGCCAGTGCTGAAGAGCAATCCATACTATATCAGTGCCCTCAGGACAAATAATTGAAGCAATTCTTCCAAAGCTAGGCAAATTATCCAAGTTCTGGGAACCTATGACATACAGTAGAAATTCTCCAATCCTGTACTCGAAGCTTCGAACCTGCACAGCTCTAGCACACCTGACTTCATCATCATCAGCAAAGCCTAAAGCTCTTAGCTGAAGAGCGACAGGCAGAGTACCAACTAACACTGTTGTTTTCCCAGCATATTTGACCTCCTTTTCAATGTTACGAGATCTGGTTCCCCAAACCTTTGCTTGAAAAATTTGTTGCTGTTGTAAAGTAGTCATCTGAGGGTTTACGAAGTTGTTGGTGGTGGTTAAGTGCCTTTTTACTGGGCAATTCTTTCCCTCTTCGTTAAAGCACCAGAACTGCCTCTGTGGTCCTTTTTCTAAAGTATTTTCAGAAAGGTGCATGAGCTGATGGAATCTATTAATTGGATCAATGCCAGGAAAAACAATGTACCAGCTGCGTCTGAACACCTCTAGAAGTCTTCCCATCATAGGGACAGCATCTCTCGGGATGGCTGGTGCAGAACCCATCTGATGAATTTGTGACAGCAGCAGTAACATTTGGTAGTGAGGATGGTCTGGATCAACACCCTCTTCTCCAATATTGTCCAATAAGAAAGGAAGGGCTCTGAAAAGAACTAGGGTCTGGGCTGCATTCATCTTCTGCTTGTGTACTCTGTCAGCTTGTTGGAGGGACTCAAGGGTGAAGTTTGGTGTTGGACGATCCTTGATGTTTTGTTTCCCATAATTGAATGCAAATATTCTTTGATTAAGTTCAGGAACTGTGAACAAATTTTCAATGCAAATGAACTGCCTTAGGCACAATCGTATTAGCATAATAACCACACCCTCAGCGCCATCATGCATGAGGTCGAAGTTGCAGTTATTTTCTAATCTAAAGTAACGGGTGTCATGAAGGCACGTCCTGTATCTAAGCCCACATTCAGTACTGTACGCATCGTTCTGCGCAACCCTCTGCAACTGAGCATCTGACAACTCAGGTGTTCGCCTTGCTCCAAAGGCAACTTCCCCAAAATGAAGCTCTTGTCTTGAGATCATACATTGCCGGCAGAAATGACGAGCACTACAACTCAGAAGACCTAAGAGTTCGTGCGCAGCCTTGGAGTCAGCTTTCACAGCAACCAGTGTAGCTCTTAAGACAACAAATTCTCCACTAATAAACACTCTCACACCTGCTGGCCCTTCCAGTCGCTGAATCTCAGCCACAAAACGATGGAGAACACCATCAAAAGTACCCTGACAATCAAGTGAATTTGCCATCACAACTGGGTGGAGTGCAGCCAATGTAGAGTTGATCCAAGAAGGGAGATTCAAAACTTTAACAAGAAAATGACCCATCTGGTGCAGTCCACTCTTGGGTCCTTGTGCACGGCATGCATCCACATCATCATAATACAAAGCAATTTGAAACGCATGAGGAAACTGCTGAAAGAACTCACTCCTCCGATACTGATCACTATCAGTGAAACACCTAAGCACACCATCCTCAGAGGGTCGCAAGTTATTAACATATTCCATGATGTCGGTTTTCCTTGCCACCAACTTAAGGATTTCGATTAAAGAAACGGATTGATAAGTACCTGGCACAGGTCTCAAACCATAAAAGCCATTATCTTCCAATCGTAAATCCAAATGTTCACCAACGTTACATGTTGCAGGCTGAATATAAGAGTAATACTGCTTGATACCAGATATCTGTGCTCCATCAGACTTGATGCCATCAAAAGGGCTTGGTTTCTCAAACTTTTCAAGAAGAGCTTGACCCCGGGGTGTATCAATTTGATCCATTCTAGTCAAATATTGCTCAACATTATTTCTGAGAGATAAATTGTTTACTTTAATAACAAGTTCTGCAGCATTCATCGCCCTGCGAACACCAACTCTTGTCATTGTAGGGACTACTCTCATGTCCACAATCAGTTTAACGGCAGCATGTTTGATGTCTGGTTCACCATTGGGTAATCTCTCTAAGGCATCATATCTGGGATCAATTTCACCATCTGAACTACCATCATCACTTATTTCATCAGGATTATCGTCATCATGAATCACATCAACCACCATCCCACCACCATTGTCCATCTCATCATCTTCCCATTCCATGACGCATTAAACATGTAAATGACCAGCACGACTAAAATCCTACAAAACAAAGCAACACAATAAAAGACAAAGCAGAACCAAAGCACCAGGACACACATCAAAAAGAATGACAGAAAATAAAGGGAAACCACAAAAACTATTCTCACCAAAAAATAAGCTGATGGTCTCCGGCTTCAGTGTGCCCTGAGAATGGAGGAAGGCGCTCACATCATCCCTGGTGCTTGTGGCAACAACAGCTGGTTTTGGAAGCGACCCCATCACTCCACAATAAAATTGCAGCAAAACCTGTGGACAAAAGAGAAAAGTTAAAGGAACTGCCAAAAATTGCGGAAAAGTAGGGACAGACACTACAGGTAGGAAAACTGAAGGCACAGCAAAGCAAAGAACGGCACAATTGTGTACCACCTAATTGTCTAAAAGCAAACAATACTTATGCATTACAAGAAAAATGTAATGCAACCTTTCCTTGAACATCCAGTAGCAGACAAAAGAGTCACCAAACTTTGTTGTTCTCGCCCATTTCTTATCAAGTG